TCTGAGAAGCCTCTGTTGAAAACAGCACTGGTACATGAGGGTATGTACCAGGCTGAGGCTGGTCTGGTTTACCTGTAAAATCTTTTGCAGCTCCACTTGGAATGACTTTTGGTCTCATTTGGACTTTGTCTTCTTCTGGCTTTGCTTTATCCCCTGTAACTTCAAGTGTGTTTTCCACAGCCTTTTTCACACCATACCCAGCACTTAATTTATCAAGTGCAGTTGGATCCTTTGCTAGGTCACACCCATTCTGCTGCATAGAGCTTGAGAGCTCACAGTGGTAATCCAGCCTCTTACAAGCCCCTCTACTCTGAAGTAGCACAACACTTCTTTCAGAGACTGGCTGCCGATTCTTAGAGGCACTGCCAGTCAATGGAATAGAAACTGTCTCATCCACCTTGTTTTGGTCATCTAGTAAAGTCCCAGAATCACTAACTGCTTCTGCATCTTGCTTCAATGCAGCTGGTAGTATTCTTGATGTTCCTTCTTCTATGAATGTACTGTTTATTTTACTTCCTTCAGCAGCAAACTTTTCATAGGCTAGATTTTGCATTTCTACTTCACTTTTATTTGAGAACTGAAGATCTGCATCTATCAAAACATCATCCATTTCTAATTTTTTAAGGTAAGTAATTACTGAAGTACTCCCAGGAAACAGCTCAGGTTGCATCTGCTTTTCATGGTCTTCCAAAAGAGACTTGGAGAGACCTTTTTCAGGTTTGGGTCTAAAGTTGTCTCTTGTGAGGTCAGACAGAAGCTTGGCCATACTGCCCTGCAAAGATCTGTTACAGTAAGATTAGTCAGATTCAAAAACAGTCACTAAAAATATAGTTAAAAACTTGTCTAGAACACCGAAACATTAGATAGATCAGACTGAGGATAAGCTGCAATGCACTTTCTATGTGTTGTCATAAAATGGAGTACAAATGTGAACCAATTCCAAGTTTCCTGAATTTTTCTTCAGCCCAATGTGCCTATAAAATAAAGAAAACAGCACAACCCAATGGAGTTCTCCAGATTATTCCAGGTTTACCTGCTTTGAACAGCACAAAATGAAATACATTGAGGCCAAGAAACAGTTACAAAGCAAACAGAAGTGATTATCACTAAAAAACATTTTCTGAATGATTCTTTCCATTGCATCTAAATTTGTAAAAAAAAAGAAAGAATTCTTCTAATTTTCTGCTTTGTACATCAAAAGAAATGCAAGTTCAGATGCTTTTGTCTATAGCATATACAAAAACACATGCAGTAAGACATCATCATACTACCATCTGGTGGTCACTACAGCACTCATAGAAGTGTCTAAACTTCTGCTGAAGAATCTGAAATGCTGATTTAAAAATATTCTGCTACTCCAATCAGTACCAACTATAAACAGGACAGACAACAGTTTCATTTCCTGCACACAGCATGGCCAAATCAATTTTATATACATACCACTATGCATGTGCAAAAAGCTATTTATGTCTCCCAGTTTGCCACACAACATGCTAAAATAAATTTGTAGTAATAGTTCTAAAAAAATGTGAGTAACACCACCTTCATTAAGTGATCCAAGAGGTCCCACCTTTACCCATGATTATATCTGGGCATAATCTACTTCAAATGTCTGTATAGCTAAAGATAGGACTGCTCATTCCCACAGGAAGAGCTTGCTGTGGGTCCTGAAGACAGGTATTTCTGCGAGTTCTTCTCAAACTGCACAAACATCTAAATCAGTGTAAAAAAAATTCAGGTGAAGAGTTAGTTTCCAAATTCTGCACCTTCAAAGGGAATATCAGTGTGTTTTCAGGTCCTTGCCCTTCCCCTAGAGCAACTTATTGGCAGATCTGCTATTAAAACTTTGCACAAGTTACAGCAGATAGTATTTTCCTTTACCAGAGAACTCAAGTCACAGACTATGGCAACTGTTTGAACAAAATTATAGCACCGTTGTAATAAAGCAACTACAAAGGGAAGTTTTAGCCTATATGACCTCCTACCACCAAGGTACTAAGATTACAATAATCCACAGGACGCAAAAAAAAAAAAAAGAAAAAACAAGGAAGAAATAATAAAAAAAAGGAAAACAATGTCAGGAGGCAAAAGAACAGTTTAGCCAATAGCACCTGGTTAGTTCCCGCAATCTCTTAACTTCTGCATCTCGCTGACGTAACGTTATGCCCAAAATCTTATTTTCTTTCTCCGAAGCTTCCAGCTTAAACTGAAGGCTCTTCACATTTCCCAATGCCTCTTCTGCTTCTGAAATGCCAAGAATAGTTTACTGAATTATTTAAGTTGTAAAACACTAAATGAAGAATAACCAAATTGAGAACACATACCCATCTTGAGCTTGGTGGAATGAATGTCATAATGCTGTTTGTTTTCAAGCAATTCCTCTTCTTTATCCTGAATTCCTTTTACAAGATGTTTATTTTCTTCTTTCTGATTTTCTATTATTTTAAGGAGTTCTTCGTTTTTAGCCTGCAGCGACTCAAGGCCTTTCTGCGATTCTTGCAATTGACTCTGGAGCATCATATTCAAGGACTGCAAAGAAACTACTACCAAAAGTAAAACATTAAAAGTGTTAGTGTGGTAGTTTGAATTTCTAAACCAAACAAAGTTTTTAAATAATCGTGGCAATATGAATTTTGGTTACAGCTAGAGGAAAGTTTTATTGCAGCAGCAAGATAAAACTCAAGCTGTCTTCTTAGATATATGTCATCTTCATTTCAGGAGGTACATAAGAATAATCTGATTGGCAGCTGAAGGGCCAAGTCTCACTTTGTGGAGTGTAAAATAGCCCAAACAGTCCAGGTAAATGCAGCTGCATGATTAGACCCACAACACTTGGTTCAGTTGCTACTAAAGGCCACCATGCATACATATATATGAAGAAACAGATCTATAAATAAAACGTTAACATTACCTATTTAAATAAAGCTTTTACAACAATGCCCCCAACAAGCATCATTATCAATACTTTACATTCGTAGTTGCAGCTCTGTCCAGATGTCTTCTTGCTGCTTTCTTGCTCCCCAAGTTTCTGGTTTAATATTCTTAGTCTCCTAAATGTGAATTGTGAAAAAGCAGGAATTCAGAAATATTAGAAAAAGCTCAAAAGCACTGCACTTTAAATTAGCTTGGTAAAACTTTCTACTGAGAATTAAACATCACAGAACGTTTCAGAAATACAAAATAGCACATTTTTCTTACTTTCCTATATTCCTTCAACAGAAAAAGAGCCTTCCAAGTTCTTGTAAATACCTCTCCCCCTGTTCTGAAGTGCTACCCACTTATGTATTTGAGAGGTCCCCTGAAACGACAGACACTTTTCCATTTGAGAACACACTACAGAAAGTGTATGAGCAGGCTAACTGTCTTCATACTGCAGTTTTCAGGATGAATGATGCACTGATCCCACCTAGGCAAAGGCCCAATCGTGATGTAACTGATGCTATTAAAACACCACTATTAACTGAAGTCTTGCTGGGCATTCATTATTCATTTTTCAACTATGTAGCCTTACCAACACACTTTCTAATACACAAATACTTCACAGACAAGGCAAGAGGCATAACATGTGCACCACAACAATGCTAAAACATGCAATTCAGAACAGACCACTTGAAGATGCTTTAGGCACATCTGCAGGACCTAGAGTTGCTGAGGAGCTCCTAACCTTCGCAGCTGGGCATTCTCACTCCGGAGAGGCTGTAAAGCCAGTGCTATTTCAGCCTGGATGTTTGTGCTTCCCACTACAGCTGGGAGCAATGATATGCTGTTTTCTATTTCACTCATCAACCGTACCATCTCCGAATCATCTGCAAGAGGTGAGGGGAAAAAGAGACTCCATAAACCTATAAATCTCTAATACGACAGTAATATGTGATTAAGCAATCTACAAAGTCATTTAATCATGTCTACCTTTTTTTTTCCCCAAGGAAACCTCATCTTTAACTGTATTTATTTAAAATTGTTAAGCTTGACTATGAAAACTATGTTTTACACTCTCAATAAAACACAACTGACCATGTCTCCAACCAACCTTGGTGGGACTGCTGTTACAACCTGTCCACACTGGGCTCATTCTCAGGGGAAAGCTCTGTATATGAAATAGGTACAATCTTTACCCTACCTTGTTATGATGTTAAAATACTCCAAAAAAATTTCATACTTATCCAGAGTGAAACCTGAAAATATTACAGTCAGTGATACCACGCTAAGATGTCACATACCATCTGACACATGACTTCCAGAAACTGAAGTGCTCACTCATTTAGCAGAGCTCTTATGTTATTTGTATGTAATGACTCCACTGTATGGTGAAAATGTCCTCACCTTGATCTGTTATCAGTGCTCTGAGCTCAGCCAGAAGATATTTTACAGTTTTAACTTTATGGGCTGTTCCTTCTGGACTATCTTTCCTAGATTTTAGAACTTTCTTCGCATAACTTGTCTTACAGCTTCTATCTCCCACTGGAGCTGTGTCAAGTACATTCAATTCATCTTCTTCACTGACCATGTCCTCACTGTGTTCTTCAGAAGTATCTTCCTCCGTGCCACTTGAAGTATCATGTTTTGCTGGACAATGATGATAGCACTTCAGTTCAGCCCTGCCACTCAGCATTTCCTGTGATTGTAAGAGGGCGAGGTGAGCCTGTATGCATCTTATCACATCTGCTTCTTTTGTCTGTTGCTCATGGCTCGAGGTCATCTCTCTGCCAAAAGATGTTGGGATCAACGCAGGCCCTGCAGGGTCACTCGGTGCTCCTGATGCCATACAAGGGATCACACTAGGCAGAGCAGTGCCAGACTGTATTTGCACAGCAGGAGCAGCAGAAACTACTGGGCAAACCACAAGTCCTCCCTTCTCTGGCACACATTCATTGGCACTGCCTACAGGAACACCCTGCATAAAGAATATACAAATGAAACATAAAAATTAATGTGATTTTTTAAAAAATCTTTTTAAAAAGCCCCAAACACCACCACCCTTGTCTGACTGAACAGTCTTGATCATTCTTTGCTCATTATATGGACAACTACAAATTACTAATTGAATAATTTTCCTGTATAATAAGGAACAGCTATAATGTCAATCTGGTTTAGATTACCTTTATCTTAGATGTTATTTGCAACATTAAAGCACAGTCCAACTGTTCTGTAAAGAAAAAACCCCAGCAGGTTTTTTTTGGGGATGTTTTTTCCCCATTTATGAACGCTCCTTCTTTGAATCAAACCAGAACAGGAAAGGAAAACATATTAAAAAAAAAAAAAAAGGACAATGCTGTTACTTTTCAATATTTTAAGTAGATGTATTTCTTAAAAGTCAAGGTCAGCCCTAGCTATACATGGACTACCTGCAGATGGAAGGTAAGTCTACAGTCTTAAGAGTTTCAAAGTACAAGCCCTTTACCACATTTCCTGAGGTGGCAGCTGGTACTTTCCATTAGTTCTATTCTACACCCTGAACACCTGAACATGTGGCTCTGAGATAATACAGAGTGTGGGAAGAAATAATCAACCTGATCATTGGCAGGGAAAAGCTCCATATGATGCATGACTTCTTCACCAGGAGTTGGTTCATGATCCTAATGCCCATTACTGAGAATGCAATTAACAGTAATCAATAATTTCCTGCACCTTCCATGTTTGCTGTCCAACACAGAATTCCTCATGCACAAACAAGCAGCCAGTTGAAATGCCTGTAATTTCATGTTTTGGTGTCTATATAAAATGTGCTTTGAATAGGTGTATTTTCTCTCATTTATTCTGTTCCTCACCACACACTGAAATATGCCATTTTTTAAAGGAAAATTATTTGGAAAACCCACACAAATAAATGCATAAATAAATAGGCAGTGCCAATATAATATGTTTATTACTAGTCAGAATCAAATTTCCACTTACTGACTGAGTAGATAAGGGATTAGCTGGATGCTGCAGGGACAGTGCTGAGGTGCAGGTAGGTAATTCATCATGAAAAGCTGCAACATTTTGATATCCTGAAAGAAAACAACACTCAGAACAGGACAATTTGGGGCAAAACTGAAGCAGCTAAATAGTCAGCTCTACATTAATAGTTCCACTAACCCTGATTTAAGATAGGAGAAGTTACAGTAGGAATTTCCTTATTCTTCTGTGGTGGTTGGCCAGTTATCAATGACATCTGAGTCTGCACATGCTCAAACAATTTCTGATGCATCACAGGAGACTGTGGACTGCAAGGCACATGAATTGGTTGAACCATCTGATTCTGTGCTGCACTGCAAAGTTCTTTCTCAGTAGAAGGTGTGATGGATGAGGTAGGTTTTCTACTTGATATTGGCACTGTTAGAGAAATAAAGAACAAAAAACCCAGCTGAAGTTGCTTCTCTTCTTAATCCACACAAACCCACTGTATTGTCTGGCAGATTCTGGCAGGTTCCCTTGAAAAAAGGGAAGAAAAAGAGCCTACAGCTGAAGATTTCAGTCAGATTTTTCTCACCAGCAAATGAATCCATCAACTTTTAATTCCAGATAGAGCAAGCTAACCCAGCTGGACAGACAGCTGTCCTTCAAGGAAGTGCAGAGATTTAATCCTACAAAAGGCAAATCCTAAAATTCAATTCTTAAAATCTCTGCTTAGGTATACTTCAAGCTCTGTACAGTGCTGGGAAGACACCAGCCAAGTGCTCACCTCCTACAATTCACAATAGGCATTCATTCTGCTACACACCTGGTTTACAGGCCCCACCTGTGCATTGGACTAGAAATCACACAGAAGAAAAGGGGTGGAGAGAGGCAGAAGTGCTAATAAGAGAAATATTTCTCCCAAGAGCAACTCAGCTTACAGCACTCCATATACCTTTCAAGCGCTCTGGCCACTAAACCGTTTGAGTTCTTATTATTTCTTGCTACACTTTCCCTTTTCCAGAAACAAATCCTTGAGAAAAGCCTGGCTGAACACTGAACTCCAGGACAGTCTCTGGTTGTGTATCCTAAACAGAGAACAGGCACTGCAATTCTTCACTGTCCAAGAGAAATGGGCAAAGGGCATTATCATTCCCCCCCACACTTTCTACCAGCTAAACCTGATGATGTCGACATTCGTAAACACACTCAACTTTCTTCCCTGTATATGAAGTTCAAACATTTGTGAATTTCAGTAACTGTTTAGTGAACATTCAACGTTTCTAAATGACAGTAAGTAATGTCTATATCCTTTTGTGGATCCAGCCCAGGATCAACTTACAACAAATAGCAACAATTATTTGAAGCCTTGTTGTATCTCAGTAGGTTGCAAAGTCTCTCAGAGTTGTTTGAGAAAAAAAATGAAGCCCAAGCAAGCTCACTTACCAATTTCTTTTTGGATGTGTGCAGGAGTTACACTTCTTTTCAGCACTTTCTTGGAAGTATTCCCTTTGGTTAGCAAAGGCTTGGAAGTAATTTTAAAGGTAGTTGTTTTCCCAGGTTGTTTATGGACAATCTCCCTTCCTAGTGTTAGTTGACAGAAAAAGTAGTCAACGAAACAAATCAGGAGAGTATTACAAAACCTAAAAAGGTAGCTTGAATTTTCAATAGGTACAACCTGCAGCCTCGTTCTGTAAGATATTCTTCAGCAAAGCTGCACAATGGTCCAGTCCATTACGAATAGTATCAACCTGCACAAAGAACACTGCAGTCAGAAAATAAGCACCATTTTCTTTCAGTAAACCAAGATGCTATTTTAGAGGTGAGTGCTCTCCACTCTGTCACTGACAAAGAATAACTGATACCAATAAAACCCTGTATCATTTCCCACGTGTCGTTTTGCAATTACATGGAAGTTTGCAAACATGCAAGTTCTGCAAAATAACTCAATTGTGTCATTGCAGGAATACCCATGTGCTGGATTTTATGTTCTGATAATTGCACGTGTGGCTTTTTAAATTCTTACTGCCATGTACAGCTATGCTGTTATTTACAGCCTACTTGTATTTTGCAGACCAGTGGCTCAGCACTACAGAAAAAAACAGAGCTGCAGCACTGACTCCACACAACTCGTTCATTTCAGCACAGAACGTAACAAGTGCAGCTGTTCTGCCGAGGCCAGTCCTCCTCCATAAGCAGCATATTTGTGTTTGTAAAGTGTAGCCTGTGCTTCATTTATATTTGTCAGAGTCATAGTCCCTGCACACAAGACCAACTCACTCCTATCTGCAAGATGCAGTATAGACACTGTTGCTCACTTTGCAGGAGCTATTTCAGGTCCAGATGCAGTAGTATCCAAATTAACCTGGTTTTCTTCTATTATTCAAGGCATTCCAATTTCCCTTCTCTTTAGATAACAGGGATGACCATATTAAAAAGCCATTTAATTACCTGACTGTCAGAGTCAGCGGAACAGAATTCTACATCTGAGTAACATCCTTTTCTTAAGCCAATGCTGAAAAAAATAGATTGTTTACATCACCTCCTTAATACGCAGCAAAATAAAAAAATTATTTTCCTTCAATAATAGCAAAGAAAAGGAAATTAATTTTATCAAGAAAACAAATAACTTTCTCTTTCTGAAAACTCTGTGTGGCTGCAACAAACATGTTTAACAGATATTAACAGCTTATGCCAAAGGAGAATTCTGTCTCCACATACAGTTAGCAAGTATATAATTTCAATGTTTTATAAATAAAATATACAGAGTCAACACTGTATTTTTACACGCAAATTTTCTCTTCAATTTGTGTCTGTCTGTCCATGGGTTGCTTAGAACTTGGCTGTATTGTCTTTCAGCCAAAAAGTTTTTTTATGCTGGGTACAAATTGAAGGAGGAGAAATTTAGGTTAGATATTAGACAAAAGTTTTTTACTGTGAGGGTGGCGAGATGCTGAGAGGTTGCCCAGGGAGGTAGTGGATGCCCCAACCCTGGCAGAGTTCACAGCCAGGTTAGATGAAGCCTTGAGCAACTTGTTCTGGTGGGAGATGTCCCTGACCAGGGCAGAGGTTGGGATTATATGATCTCTAAGGTCCATTCCAACCCTTAAAATTCGGTGATTCTATGATATATACATATATATACAAGTAGTTTTTGGTTAGCTGTGAGGTTCCCACACCCCCTCACATACACTTCAATCTAAACAGCGTTCACGATTCAACTCTTACTGTTTCCTCCCTTTCGGCGGTTTGGCCGCTCCCGTTAGCCTTCCAGACGACAGAGCCTGTTGATGGCAGAAACACACTGATTTTCATAAAGCAGTTTCACAACATACTTGGAGATTACCCTCGCCCACCGATCCCAAGCACTT